TCTCTCTCCTTAAAAAATGAATAAACACTAAAAAAATTTTTTTAAAGTTAAATCTTAAAAAAAAAATCCTGACTTTTTAATATATTTCCTGCCCATTCCTAGAATCAGCAAATTTTCCAAGGAGTTCTCTTAATGGAGAATGGTATTAGACACCAAAATCTGAGTGCTTGTTGCTCCTGGCATGTTGTTTCTTTTAGGCCATCTCAGTTGACAGAGAAAAGAAATATGCAAGTGTTTATTAGCTTGTGTATGTGTCTACAAATATATATATTTATATATTTATATTATATATTATATATAATTTTATATATAAAATTATATATTTATTTATTTAGACATAGAGAGTGCGTACATAAGTGGGGAAGGGGTAGAGGGAGAGAGAGAGAATCCCAAGCAGGATCCACATTGTCAGCACAGAGCCAGATGTGGGGCTCAATATCATGAACAGTGAGATCATGACCTGAGGCAAAACCAAGAGTTGGATGCTTGCTTAACCAACTAAGCCACCCAGGTGTCTCTATCTACAACTATTTCTATATTAACCATCTGTATCTATTAAATAAAACATGAGTTTCTATTGATGTTTCCAACTGTAATCCATTACTATATAGATACATTCTATGTGGTATAGATCATTACTTATCTGTAAATCCCCACTCCAACAATGAGAAACCTGGTTCCACCATTCACCACTCACTTACTTAATTGTTCCATTCCAGTATTTATGTACAGCAGTATCAGAACTGTTAATCTGTGTTTCGGTGGGAAACAACTTTATCAACTAGAGCACGCTGCTTATGTGCAGCTTCTTTTGCTTTTAGTTTCAACAGATTCCATTCATTTTCAAAGTTACCTGTACCAGCACCTTTCCCTCCCTTCTCCCTTCAGTGAGTTTTTTCATACATTTGCAGTGCAGTTAGATTCTCTTGTCACAGGTTGATTTCTTTTCTGATATTCCCTCAATCTCCTAAATGATTTCTTTTTAATTTGCATATATTAAAGTCCATTCTTTGTGTTGTAAAGTTCTGTGGCTTGACAAATGAATAATATCATGTATCCACCATTATCATGTCATACAGAATAGTTTCACTACCGTAATAATACCCTGTACTTCACCAGTCATCCCTTCCTTAAATCCCTTGCAACTGTCTCATAGATTTGCCTTTTCTAGAAAGTTATATAGTTAGAATCATACAGCATGTTGCATTTTCAGACTGGTTTATTTCACTTAGCAAAATACATTTAAGTTTCCTCCATAGCATTTTGTGGTTTGGTAGCACATTTATTTTCATTGCTGAGCAATTGCCCATTGTATGGAGGTACTGCAGATTTTGTTGCTTTCTAATACAATGTGTAACTCTATTCACTCATTTTCTATGATGGAAATGTAGGCTGCTTTTTTTTTTTTCTTTAACTCTTCCTTGGTGCCCCTTCCTGAGGGAGGAGCATCTATACTTCCCACTCTATTCATGTCACGTGGCAAAGCTTGACATCTTTTGGCCAATGAAATGTGAAGATGTTTCAAGAACTATTACATGTTTCTGTCTTTGTATCAGCTGTATGACTGGCATGTCTTACCTGGAGGCTGCCCCTTTAGCTGGGTCCAAGAGTGAAGACAACTTATAGATAAATGAGAGAAAGAAACCTTTGTGATTGTAAGCAACTGAAATTTAGTGGTTCTTTGTTACATGTATAACAAAAACAAAAGCTGACAAATACATCCCCAACTTTACTTTTCTACGCCAATGTCTTTTCCCCTCATCTTAGATTTTATTAGTCATTTGCAAAGCTGTGTCTGTGATTCATTCAGTAGGGGAAAACACTGAGAGGATTTGCTTCCATTTAATATTTTGTTATTTAATTTTATATTATTACATGTTTATTAAAAAAAATTTTAATGTTTATTTATTTTTGAGAGAGAGACTGAGTGTGAGCAGGGGAGGGGCAGAGAGAGAGGGAGACATAGAGTCTGAAGTAGGTTTCAGGCTCTGAGCTGTAAGCACAGAGCCCGACATGGGGCTTGAACTCACAAACTGTGAAATCATGACCTGAGCCACAGTCGGACACTTAACCCACTGAGCCACCCAGGAGCCCCGGTTATTACATGTTTATGACAAAATCTTGTAAATTCTAAATCTATGCTTATTAATTTTGGGGGAGATGGTGGGTAATAGATTGCTTAAAGTTGCACTAATACAGTAGCTACTAGTCACATTTACACACATTTACACACAATTACAATTAAATTAGATTAAATTGAAAACTCATTTCCTCATACCAATATCCATATTTCAAATGCTCAATAGCCATATGTGGTCAGTGGCTACCATATTGGAGAGTACAAATATATATTTCTATCACTGAAAAAAGGAAAGGTCTATTGGACAGTGCTGTTTTAGAAAATTTGTTGAGAGCTACATATGCAAATTTGAGGCCTGCATAGAGTCCATGAGCCTACTATGGATCTCAGGTAAATCCCTTCCTATAGTTAGTGTGTCCTACCTTATTTTGGGGTCAGTGTCTGACCTTGAATTAACTGAAAAAATTACAAGTCTACAAAATTCTGTGACTGCCTGGATCTTGACTGTGGGTCCTAGACCCATTAATCCATGTAATGTCAAGCAGCCATGACAGGAGAAAAGCTAGTTTTAAAAAATATGCTTTAGTACCATTGGCTCAGGAATGCTGTATCTTAAAAGTAGCCATTATAAATGCAAGGCATGAAGGCAGGTACATTTATAGAAGAGGTTGCCTCTATCTTTTCTTACCACTAGAGGAGTGGATTGTGCGGGAGGGGTAGAAGGCAGGGGGAGACATTTTTCCGTGAAAATTGACATGTAAAAATAATATCAGCAATAGTTTATGCCTAGTAGTCCTCAAATACTTGAAATGTTCCCCCCTCTCCTTAATTCTTGCGAGGAAAAGATGATTATTTCCTTTTTTAGGCTGGCAAACCCAATCTCCTATAAATAAATTGCCCAAGATCAAACAACCCATAAATGACTAAATCAGAACTTGAAGTTTGGCCTAGTACTATCCCTTACGCTACCTTCCCAATTTGTTCTTACTTTCCTGCATGTCGGTAGATGTGTGGTGAACTGTGAAGGCTGTTTGGGTGCTCCTAAAAGTCCTGCACGCGTACCAGGAGCCATCCAGATCCAGACTTGTAAGTGAGGTCTCCAGTGCCTACCAACAGCAGAAGCTCAGGCTCTGGGACCACAACATGAATGGTTCTTCACCTGAAAATTACAGCACAGTTGTGGATAAGAGAAAAGGTAAGGGGAAGAAGGCTCAAAGAAAGCAGTGAAAAAGTGTCCTGGTGATCGAAGGAGAGGTAGTTTGTCTAACGTGAGGCGTTTTGCCTTGCAGACGGGAACCCAGAAATATTTAGATGTTTCTTTCTTTCTTTTTTTTAATGTAATAGGAAAAAGAAATAATCTGTGCTAAGTAGAGTGGAAGACCAGGTTTGAGGGGAGCCTGAGTAGCTGGATGGGTTAGCGTCAGACTCTTGATTTTGGCTCAGGTCATGATCTCTAGGTTCTGTGGGATCAAACCCCACCTGGGGCTCCATCCTGACAGTGTGTGGAGCCTACTTCTGATTCTCTCTCTCTCTCTCTCTCTCTCTCTCTCTCTCTCTCTCTCCCTCTCTCTCCCCTCCCCTTCTCACGCTTGTGCTCCCTCAAAATAAATGAACTTAACTTTTTAAATAAAAAAATAAGTATATAAAAAGACAAAGTTTAATTAAGGCGAGGTCCAGGAAATTATTACAGATTGCAAAAAAAACCTCCAACACTCAACCCCACGCACCGAAAATAGTGTCACTTATGTGTGAATTGCAGCAATTACCAAACCCCAACACGAAAACTGCATATATGTGTTTCACAAAATTGATCTGCGGTTTAAAGGCAGATGAAAAATTTTGCCCAAATCGGGGAGGCTGGTGAACCTGGCGGGGGACCTAAAGCTGAGGTGGTTTCGAAGAGCCTGGGATTGGGGCTCTCGGCTGAGAGAGGACCCCATCCTGCTCTGAGTTCCCCTTGATCTGACAGTACGGGTGATTGCCAAAGGTTACCTGCCGCCTGGGTGGGAGAAGCGAGGGAGGCCGAGCGCTGCTGGGCACTGTAATGCTGGGAGCTGCCGGGTGCAGAGCACACACAGGCAGGGCGCCTGGGGGACTGAACGAGGAAGGCGGTGCCCAGGGCGGCGCTCACCTGCCCCAAAGCTTCCAGCGGACCTGCTTTGTCTCGGACTCTGAAGTTAGAGTATGTAAGATACAATGCCCTGGTAGGGGAATCAGGTATCTTACGGACAGCTCGGGACCTTCGAGCCACAGGGCCTTGGATCCTAGCGCACATTTCTCTCTTTCCAAATTGTTTCCGTCTCCTGAGCCTCAGTTTTCTCGGAGATGGCCATGATTTCAGTCTACAGCCCGCAGAGGGCACTCGGTCAGTCAACGCGGCTCAAAGTCCCGCCGCCCGGATCTGAGCGCGGTCACGGTCTCTCCCCGGAGGGCAGGTGTGGTTTTTGCGGCTGTGGCATAACGCAGACCAGGACAGAAGGGCCTTCTCGAAGGCGTAGAGACTTTGAAGATGGTGGAATCCTCAGAGGCTTCCCTTCTCTTCCCCTATCCCCTCTTCCAGATTCCCTCCGCTTGACACCCCAACTAGCTGGTCCCTCGGTGTCCGGGGCGCCCCCCAGCCCTCCGTTTCCAGTCCCAGCCGTGCCAGCAGCACGTGGCTGCGCAGACTGCCAGAGACACTCGCAAACTCGGAGCCTGGCGGGCCTGGGGACTTTCCAGGGCCCCTAGGTGGCAGGGTAGACGACGGAATGACCGAGGGTGGGAAATGTTCGGAGGCTAGAGGAAACAACCGGCGGCAGCGCAGGCGGCCGAGGTAGCACCGCAGGCGCGGGGGGGCGGAGCGGCCGCGAAGGGGGCGGGCCCGGCGCTCAGCTGGAGCTCCGCTGGGGGGAGGGGGAGGGGGCGGGGGGAGGGCGGTGAGATGTGGCTCTCCGTTCCCTGCCGGCGCCGGGGACCGTCGTTAGACGGTTGTCAGAGAGCCCAGAGATCGTTTAGGGGTCGAGTTGTGGATGTTACCAAGGTCGTTTGGTGAGTGCGCGCGAAACTCCCGCCCTTCGGAGTCCCGCTAATAGCGTCTCGTCGGGTGCCTGCCTACGTTACATCCTTCGCGCGGCGGGGGCCTTCACTTAGCGGCCCTCAGGATTTCCTGCAACTCTAAGCTATACATTGATAACAGCCTTTTTCCGGCGGTGACGACCTCCCCACGAGAACATGCCCAGCGCCTGGTGCAGAGCCCCAGCTGCTGCTTCGTGGACGTGAAGTGCCTGGGGTCCTACAAAATCGCCACTGTGTTCAGCCGTGCGCAGACGGTGATACTGTGCGTGGGCTTCCCCACCGTCCTGTGCCGTCCGAAGGGAGGAAAATTAAGGCTCACGGAAGGATGCTCCTTCGGACGCAAGCAGCACTGAAAGCACCCTGAATCCATATGAGGGGGAAACTATCCCAATAAACAGATTTTGGCTCAAAATACAAACCAAACCAAACCAAACCAAACCAAAACAAAACTATACATTGTTACAGCCTGAGTGGACTCTGACCCTGAGTGCTCCGTTCCTTCGTAACCTAAGCCTCATAACTGATCTTTTCTGCCGGCTGCCCCTGGCGGTGGTTTAGCGTCCCCTTCCTTTCACAGGCCAGAATGGCAGCGAACTGCTGACAGTATTCCGGAGGTGCTTCGATGTCTTAATCGTGGTGAATGACGTCTAGGGATGTGGAGTACTGATCTTCATTATTGATGGCCCTTTTACCAGTACCTTGCGATGCTCCTGATTACGACAATGGCTTCTGAGCCTCGGATCCGCCAAAATCGAGGTGAATAGCTTCAGGGGCCCTGGTGCGGAAAGCTTCATTTTGCCCAGGGATCTGGGGAAGTGGGTTTCGCTTCCCGCATCTTTCTGGCTCACTCCAGTTCTTTAGTGTAAGGGTCTGGGACAGCTCTGAAAGCAATCACTAAATCTAAATATCCCTGGGTGTGGGTTCTGGCGTCTGAGTAGGAAGAATGAGATGCAGTTGGGAAGGAGTCTGTGGTTAGACTGAAATGTGGAAAATCTAGGATATCTGTGCACACCAGGATTAAAAGTCCCCAGTGAGTTCTTCGGTCAGGTCCTTCAGGGGACTGGCTTCTGCAAATCTCTTTTGTGGATATACTAGGTACACTAGGTCAGCAGATTTCAAAATGGCAGTCCAATGTCTGTCCACAGGGTCTGTGTCACCTGGAACGTGTAAAAAATGTAAACTCTGGTGCCCATCCCATGCCCACAGGATCAGACATTTTGGAAGTGGCGCTCAGTAACTTGTGTTTTAGCAAGCCTCCAGGTGATTCTGATGCATGCCAAAGTTTGAGAACCACTGCTCTGAGGTCATCGCCACAAAATATGCTCTGACCAGCTGCTTTCTTTTCAGCCAGAGCTCCGACCAGATGGCTGCTAAATTCTGCAGGGACCTCTGGGCACTCAGCTTAAGGCTGGGGCCTGTCTGGAATTCTTTATCCAGATGATGTGCTTCTGGCTGACCTCAGGACAGGGATGACGTTGCTTGCAGAAGAAGAGCTGGCCAAGCGATAGGAGGCCAAGGCTCCATCCAGGTTTGTTTTGTGCCTTGAAAGACAGGGATGAGGATGGGTGTGGGGGCATCTGTTCTTAATTGTGTCAAGTTCAAGTTTTTGCTATCTCGAGCTTTTAAGAGCCATTTAAATGGTTTTATAATAAATAATCTTCATTGTCTTTGTGTTAATCGGTGTTCCTTCCAGATTAAGATGGGGGAAAGACAAAAATTTTCAAATAATGGTTTCAGTTTCTCAGTTTTGGGGGCCATGTGAAAAATTTTTTTGGAGCAGTTCCCCAATGCCCCCCTGCTCTAGAATCAGTTTCTTCTTTCTTGCCTGGGTCTCTACCAGTAAGAGTGGAGAATTTAAAGGAAGGAGTTGTCTGTTGGGAATACTGCCCAGCATTCTGGTCAGATGAGGGCTGAGAACTTCTCCTTGATTTGTGTGCACAGGGCTTTCTGCTAGCTTTTGTAGCAGTTGCTGCTCTGAGGTTCCTAGAAACTGGGTTGGAATGAGTTGAAGGACATACATGAAAATGCACATGAAGTATGTCTAGTAGACTCTTTTGGTAAGTGGAACTGCTGAAGCTTCTGGATAGTAAACCTGGAGCTATTGTTGAGATGGGGAACAAAGAAATAGTTGGCGGTGGAGAAGGAGCTTGTCATTTGCTGTAGAAAAGAGCAGAAAGTTGAGTCAGGATAGGGATGACGGAGTGGGAGGGCGGGGCTAACAATCTAGAGGCAGAAAGGGATAATTGAGGCCTTCAAGTGCTTGTGAAAGCAACAGGGATGTTACCTAGAGCCTGGTGGAGGGACCAGGTCCTGTGAGGTGGAGGAACATATGTAACAGGAGGCCAGAAGGGTGAGGATTCAGGGAGCTTTGTGGAGAGATTCATTCTGCCTAAAAAGAAAGAACATTCTTACATATACCTGATTGATATCTGATTATTTATTTTATGACTATTAACATTTCTCTAACAAAACTAAACACTTACATGCTACTTCATAACTAATAACCCAATATGTATGTATTTACAAATGTAATTTGCTCAAAATTTAAAATGATTAGATATTTTGAATGAAACTTCTAAAATGTAATTAAGTCACAAATCTAATATTTTAGATTCTCTTAAAATGCTAAAAGCTTTAAAAAGGAGCCAAAGGTCTTCAAAATACATTGGCTAACATTTGAGAGTTTAAGTGCTAGATATATTCTGTTTTAGATGTGTGATCTTATTCAATGTTCAAAACAGCCCGTAAGATGGGTTCTTTGGTCATTCCCTTGGAACTTAGACACCGAGAAACTAATCAACGTGGCCATGCACACACAGCTAGTGAGTGGCAGAGCTAGAATTGGAATCTAGGCTCTTATGTTGTCTTGTCCTTCTATTACAGTGAGTCCAAAACAGATTATAACAGCTTCATTAAAACCAGTTAGAGAAATGCTAGTATCAAGACTTTAGTTTCTTCATTATCTCTATACTTATTTTAATACCTGAATGGAACACAAGTTATAATATGACATATTATATATGATATATTCCCAGAATTGCAATAATATTACCAGGAAATAAGCTTATGCTTTCTTTGGCTTTCGTTAAATTTTTAAGATCCCAAAAGGAAAATAAAACCCTCTCAGATCAGACATATTGGTAGCTGATGGATTCTGGAAGGAAACTGGACCTTGTTTCATAGGGTAGTTCTGTGAAACCGGAATCCATCATTAGGCTGAGTGGGGTTTTTTTGGTATGTTTTTTGTTTGTTTGTTTTTTAAAGAAGGATTTATGCCCAGCATGGAGCCCAATTCAGGGCTTGAACTCATCAACCTGAGATCAAAACCTGAGCTGAGATCAAGAGTCTATGCTCAACTGACTGAGCCACCAAAGTGCCTCTAGGCTAAGTGCTATTTTATAGTCAAGTGTAGCAACCACTCATTAAGTCTCATTTTACTTAAAATGTTAATTCCAAGGGGTGCCTGGCTGGCTCATTTGATAGAGCACGTTACTCTTGATCTTGGGGTAGTGAGTTTGAGTCTAGTATTGGGTGTAGAGTTTACTTAAAAACAATTTAGTCTCAAAAATATGTAATGCATGTACACGGTAGGAAACCTGTATTTTAAAATTTTAGCTAAGTTTAGACTTACAAAAGAATTGCAGAAATAGTACAGAGTTCTGGTATATCCTTCACTGAACTTAAGTTCAGTGAACATTTTGTATAACAGAACATTTTTCAAAACTAAGAAATCATTTCGATTGCAACTGTTGTTCCAGTGATGCGGTTTTTTTCCTTAAAGATTTAAAATTTTTTAAAGATTTTTAAAAATGTTTATTTATTTTTGAGAGAGAGAGCTTGAGCAGGGAAGGGACAGAGAGAGGTGGGGACAGAGGATCCAAAGCTGACTGCGGGCCCACAGCAGTGAGCCCTTGGGGCTTAAACCCTGGAACTGCAAGATCACCCTAAAGGTTTTTAATTTTTTTTTAATTTTTAAATGTTTTTAAAAAATTTATTTGTGAGAGACACAGCGTGAACATGGGAGGGTCAGAAAGAGAGGGAGACACAGAATCTGAAGCAGGCTCCAGCCTCTGAGCTAGCTGTCAGCACAGAGCCCGACGAGGGTCTCGAACCCACGAGCTGTGAGATAACGACCTGAGCCGAAGTCGGATGCCCAACCGACTGAGCCACCAAGGCACCCCAAAATTTTAAATTTTAAGTAATGTCTACACCCAGAGTGGGGTTTGAACTTATATCCCCAAGATAAAGAGTCACATGCTCTACTGATGAGCCAGCCAGGTGCCCCCCACTAATGTAGTTTTTCTGTTTGAAGATCCAGTTTAGGATCCCACATCATATTTAGTTGTCGTATCTCTTTTGTTTCTACCCATCTTTGACAGTTTCCCAGTCTTCCCTTGTCTTTCATGACCATGACACTTTGGAAGAATACCAGTCAATTATTTTGTAAAGTGTCCCTTTGTTTGAATTTGTATGATTTTTTTTATGATTAGCTGGTCGGGCATTATTGGGAAGGATGCCACAGAGATGATGTGACCATGTTTCCTTCTCATTACATCTTAATCAGGGATGTATAATGCTAGTATGTGCTACTCCAATGTCAGTCTTGATCACTTGGCTAAAAAAATCACTTACTTACTACTGTAAACTTACTATTTTTCCATTTGTGATTGCTAAATATTTGGGGGGAGATACACGGAGACTGTATAAATATCTTGTTTCTTATTAAACCTTCTCTTACTAGCTTTAGCATCCATTGGTAGGTCTTATCAGAGACAATGATTACTGTGCTGTCTTAGTGATTTCTTATTTCTCTCATATTATCTACATTTATTAATTGGAATCTTTACGAAAAGTTGTTTCTCTTCTATTTATTCATTTATATTAGTATGGACTGTGGATTTATTTATTTTTATATTTTCCTTCTTTTCTTTTATAGTTTATTGTCAAGTTGGTTTCCATATAACATCCAGTGTGTACTGTGGATTTAAAACGATTCTTTGGGAGGGGAGGTGGTGCAGGGAAAAAATTCTTTGGGGTATGACTCAATACTGTCATTATTTTTTTTGTTCAAGTTGACCCAATTTTGGCCCTTTCTTTTGGGTTGGGCATTTTTCCAGGTTGGTTTCTACCTACAGTGTGTTATTTTCAATATGTATCCATCCTTGGGAGCGCCTGGGTGGCTTAGTCGGTCAAGTGTCCGACTTTGACTTGGGTCATGATCTCTCACTTCCTGAGTTCAAGCCCCACATTGGGCTCTATGCCGACAGCTCAGAGCCTGGAGCCTGCTTCAGACTCTGTCTCCCTGTCTTTCTCTGACCCTCCCCTGCTCCTGTACTCACTCTCTCTCTCAAAAAAAAAAAAAAGGTATCCATC